ATTGAGAACAAGTGAAAAATTCACCTGTAGGAGTAAGGCTTAAGGTACCGTAGATACTTGTGCATAAGCTGAGTTTTTCAGCACTTTTATGCAGTATTTGTGGTAAAATTAGGTGCCTTGGCTGATATTCGGGCTGACTTATACTCAAGTATATATGGTAAATGTTTAAAGCATTTATCCTATGCTTCTTTTTGGAAACGCTCTTTAAAATGTGGCCACTAGAAAATTAGTGATAAACGAAGAACTACTAGGCTCAGCCACATTTCCCAGCAAAAGTCTGGGTAGTGTCCTCCTTCATATAATGAAATTCAAGGCTTTCAGTTTAGTACTAAAAGCCAGCCAGTTGTTTTGTTTTGTTTTGTTTTAAGCCAGCCAGTTTTAACCAAACCTGTCTGTTTGAGCCTCCTTTCACTATCCCTTTACTTTCTCCTGTCGTTACTTCAGGCATAATGTGATGATACTGCTTTTGCTCAAGTGGTTTCCTTTCTGGAACCACCTGGCCTGCCTTTCTCCCCATATGTACTAGGGAGGCCTGGCTCAAATGATATCTCCTTTAATAACTATCCTTTTTACATCATCTGATCTATCACTCTGTCACAGGCTGCTCTGGATCAGTTCATATGCTTTACTTCTCTATTAGTGAGGTGAGTTCTTAAAGGACACAGATCATGCTCATTCATGTGTGTAGGCCTTCTACTTCCTATATAACACAGAACTTTTCATAGGGTGCACATTCAATGATATCCATGCTGCAAAGTTTATTGCTCGTAAGAACACTTGGCAGATCTTAGCATAAGAGTGAGAGGGTAAAAAGTCTGAGGAGAGAGGTAAATGAAATTTCACTCTAGGCATCTCGGTTACTTGCCCCTAAAATTGGCAGTCGAGCTGCATCAGACACTATCCATATTATGTTGCATTTTCTCTGATGAAGCTTTGGAAACTCTGGGATGTCTTTGGCAAAATACATTAAGAAGTGCACACATGCACAGACACAACTACAAGGACGAAATCTTCACAAGGTACTTGGGCTGTTTGTTCATTGTTGTAAATCCTGGTATACAGTATGCCTGGGTACAGTAATATATGTTTTAGAAATTTTTATTGAATTAACCATGAATGAATAAAGTATGGTGTCAGGAACAAAGAATTGTATTCCCAGCTATCACACAAACAGGACCCATATGATTACAAATGCCTTAGATTCTGTTTAATGCCGATCTAGTATTTCACATCGAAGAGATCTTACAATAAAACCTATGGGAAAGTTTCCATAGGACATTTTAAGAGAATATGGCCATAAAAAATGTGACTCAACTCTGTACTCTTCGAGCTCTCTCGACCTCAGTTTATTTCAAAATTGCCAAGATACAGCACAGCATCTTTGATAGACACTATCATGTAATCAAATAGGAAGGGCATGCAATGCTGGATGTTAACTTCCACGGTAGATTGTTAGCAACCACTATCAACTAGCATTTACTTCTACCGTAAAGATATAGAAATTCTAAGAAAAATTTTCATCTTAAGTGCTAGTCTGTGACCTCTATAGGTATAAGGATAAGAAATAATATCTATGATTTATTTCTTAGTTTCAGTAAACACCAAGCAAAATAAAAAAATATAAGTAAATATCTTCCCATTCATCAGAGAGT